TTTCACTCAGCAATTGAATATTCAATCTTCATACAAAATACTTCTTCTCCCAGCGACTGGGAGTACGAGGAAGTGCCGGAATATCATAAAGCAAATTACGAAGAAGCCAAACGTAGACTATGTACAATAAATTGGCAAAATATAATAAGTATTGAAGGAAATGTCGACAATGAAGTTGGCAGATTTCAATCAATTATTCGTAGCATAATTTTAGAAACCGTACCAATAAAATGAAGAAGGCGAACACAAAACAACAAACTGCCAGTGTGGTTCAATCCACAACTAAAACATTTGAAGAACAAAAAGCAGAAAGCACACAAATTATACAAAAAGGAAAGCACTAGCACAAATTTACAACACTATCATAACATATGCAACCAACTCAACACAGCCATTAACACTGCACATGAAGAATATAATCGTAAAGTCGAAAATGAAGTCAAATCATATCCTAAGAACTTTTTCAGTTATGCAAAAACGAAATTGAAAAGTAATAATTTTCCGTCACGAATGCATTTTGATGGAAATGTAGGTGAAAATCCTTCTGAAATCTGCAATCTCTTTGCAAATTGCTTTCAGGAAGTATACACCACATTTTCTGAAAAAGACCGCGACCGCGACTTCTTTGCATTCATTCCCGAAGTATCTAACAACATATCTGTCAATCAAATATGTCAACATGAAGTCCTCAATGCACTAAAAAATTTGGACACATCTAAAGGACCAGGACCTGACGGAATTGCACCTGTATTCTTGAAGAATCTTTCAGAACAACTTACCCTTCCTTTAGAACGCCTTTTCAATATGTCTCTGAAAAATGGGAAATACCCTGAAATTTGGAAATCGTCTCATTTGGTGCCTATTTTCAAATCAGGCAAGAAATCTGACATCAGTAATTATCGTGGAATTGCCATTATCTCTTGCATCCCAAAACTTTTTGAATCAATCGTAAACGACAAAATTTTTCAGCAAGTAAAAAATCAAATTACAAACAGCACGGCTTTTTAAAGGTCGCTCAACTACCTCTAATCTTCTAGAATATGTATCTTTCATTATTAAAGCATTGGACAGTGGCAAGCACGTTGAAGCGCTATACACCGACTTCAGTAAAGCATTTGGCCGCATCGACATACCATTACTAATCCTCAAATTGCAGAAAATAGGAATGGAGCCTGGACTTTTGATTTGGCTTCAATCATACCTAACACATCGTAAACAAATAGTTCGTTTTCAGAATAATCTTTCAGAACCTATTTCGGTCACCTCTGAGGTGCCCCAGGGCTTCTTATCAGGAGCTTCTTAAAAATCTAGTAGAGCTGGAATTAGGGCGTAACAGCTTTCGTAAACAATGACTTCTATCGATGATTTCTAGGAATTCAAGGCACGTCCACGCAGACCAACCTAGCCATCGGATAGGGAAAGGCTTTCCCTACCCAATGAGGATGTAGGTTTGCGTGGGCGAGCCTTGAATTTCTAGAAATCATTAAGAGAAGTCATTGTTTATAAAAGTTATTAGGCCCTAATTCCAGCTCTATCCAGAAATATATCATGGAATCTCTGACGCAGCGTCTCGCGTGCCAAGTGAAAATCAAAAAAGGAAGCAACCCTATTGAAAACCCTTTGCAGCACCATACGAACTATAGTTTCTACGACGAAAAGGCATCCTCAGCATTACGTTGTTACGGAGTGCTCGTGGTTGAACGTTAACGTCGATTTGTTGTAGAATAGAAGGACAATCGATTCTGCTCTGTAGAAGGTCTGCCACAAACAGGGCCCTTGTCGTATCTCTTCGACTCCACAAAGGTTTCAGGTGAATTAATTGGCACCGACTTCCGTAGCTTGGAAGGCGATGAGTCACCAGATCAATTGTCGTTAATAGACTCTACTCTTTGTACACTGTTTTGGTAATTGGGATTAGCATACAGGGCAGCAGTATTCTAACACCGACCGGACGAGGGAGCAGTAAAGCGACTTCAAACAGTAGATGTCCGTGAAACTTTTAGCTATCCTGAAAATGAAGCCGACCGTTCTGGATGCCTTGTCGATCACGTACGAGATATGCTGGCCCAGATCCTTAATGTGATTCACACGATGTACGTTAACGCCTTCCTAGGATATAACTGAATGTAATTGGATGTTTCTTCCGTGAGAACGTGATTACTGAACATTTTGTTGGATTTACAACCATGCGGTTCAGTTGGCACCAATTAGCAAAAGCGTTGAGTTGGAGTTGGAGAAGGTGGCAGTCAGCAATGGCTCGGATTCGGAGATAGATTTTCATGTCGTCTGCGAACGACAGTCGTGGACCGTCGAGGACGAAATTGACGTCGTTGAAATACACAAGAAATATCAACGGGCCGAGGTGGCTACCTTGCGGAATACCCGAAACCATCGTAGGAGACTGCCGTTTATACCGAGCCTATCCAGTTTGGCGATCGCTATAGGATGGTTCAACTTGTCGAAGGCGGTTGATAGGTCAGTGCAGCTGACATCTGTTTGCATATGGTCTGTCATACTCTCCGTAATGTACGAGGTGAGGCACAGAAGGTTGGAAGTAATCGATCGCCCTGCCATGAAACCATGCTGGTCTTCGCTCAAGTGCTGCTTGAAGTGAGAGACTAATGGTTCCATAACAACCAACTCGGAACAGTTTAAATATGGCACACAACGATGTGATGCCGCGATAGTTGTCCATGTTACTTTTGCATCCCTTCTTTTACACTGGAAACATCTCAGGTGATTTCCAGCAGGAAGGAAACACCCCACTGGAGAGAGACATTTCGAACAGACGGCAGAGAGGAGCCACCAGACTATCGATGTGTTGCTTGAGAAAGACGGAAGGAACTCCGTCAGGTCCAGGCTTGAATGAAGACTTCAGTTGCGAAGCCACCCCAGTTATCATAGCGAGGTCGATGTTGATAACTGCCAAAGATTGACCAGACATTGGAACATTACTGGCTGCTAGAGAAACGTGCTCATCAGGTAGGTTCTCATCCACGCGCAAACTTGGTTGAGAACAGACGACAAATGTCCTGAGGGGATGAAGCTTCATCGCTGAGTTCGTGAACTTTTGGCGATTATTAGTGAACTAAATTGTAATTTGGGTCGTGCGGCAAGCTCCAAACGGTATTATCCTCGGAATATGTACGTATATTTGCAAATGAAGCGGTCAGCAGTCTTCCATTGAGCATCTATATTTTGGAGCAAGATATGTAAGCCGATCAGCAGCTACGCAACGCATATGTTCGGTGATTGCTGAGAAGAACCGACTGAGGTGTTTGCGGCAATTAAACCTGGGACATTCAGCGATTCCACGGATGAAGTCCATGGCATGGTGGTATGTGTATTAGCCATCGATTGATCGTTGCGTTCGCAAAGACATGCAAGCATTGCTGCACTTCCGTGGCAAAATCTCCGCCGTCTTATGTCAATATTTTCCGCTGAACGAATGCCGCTCTCTTATCTGCGCTAGGATCTTTACCATCATTAGTTCGGTTCATCTAATCGGTTAGCACCACCTCTAAGGTTAGTGCCGTTCATGTTCTTCAGGGGTCATAATTATCCGGCAACGTAAGTAGCTTAAGGTATCCATCCGAGATAAAGCAAACAAGCAATGCTCATTAATTGATTTTACTGATTGGAGGTTCGCGGTTGATCACGCAAGGTGCTCCGTTTAGCACAGCTGTTTTCAGTGCCATTTTGAGTTCCAGTCGATAGCCCTTTGTGCAAATCAGGCAGGCTTTGCTGAATTTGCATGAGCAGAATAATTGTAGTGACTGACGTGTACGGAAGTATTTTCTCTTTACTCTCAACCCGACGTACCACACCTTTCATTGTCTTCGATTGGTCAGTAATTCGAATCGGTCTGCTTTTTCCTTTCCGTCGTTTGACTTGAAACCTAAAATATATAATCTTCCACATGCACTTGTAAACACACAAGACTCATAAGACCATTCGTGAAACAGATGACGCAATCATTTAGGGATGTTACGAAAAACAACATAACCAAATAAATAGTTTAAAGAGGGTTGCAAATAGATTCTGTATGCACAAACCACTGAGAAACTAAACAACCAATCTACTGTATAGGAAAGCTACTCAGAATGGTTACGACCAAAAGTAGTGTATCTACATTACCGAATCGCCTGTCAGCTAGTGATTGTCCAGCACCTGAATGCACATGGCCGACCTTCCACTACGACACAGGACACTCAAGCTACGATAGTGCATTCCCTCTTGCGTTCATGCCCACACCAGAAACGTATCAACAACAGTCACTAATCTACGCATCAGCAAATAGTAAGACTATTCCCTCGAGAAAAAGGGACAACAGCCGCAGAAGTCAAACTCAAAGTGCTTACCTTTCTCGAACCACTGTGTGTACCTTTGGAGTTTCGTCGGTATCCCCTTTCTAGCTGTTATGCTCACGCGTTCCTGATTACTCGCAAAATATACAATCAACTGCTGCTGTTCGCGATTGTTTTCGGGAGATTTTGGACACCAAAAATGAATGGAAGCAAAATGGCAAGAGAGTTTCAATGGTTAGTACCGTTTCGTGTGAGATTACATAAACATCAACAGAACAATCTCTGCGACAGATGCCACGGATATAAACAGAGAAACGATACTCTTGCGAATCGTGAGAGAATCGTTCTGACGACGAATTCGCCAATGACCCGATGAGCGGGACGGGACACGGAGACGGACAGGTGTCGGGAAATCTGTGCGAGCGAGAACTGACAAACGAGTGAGAATACTCATTGCAGCCTCGTCGGGGAACTAAACGACAAAAAAAAAAAACTTTCGCCAATCGAATCACGGGCATTGCGACATTTGTTGCCGAATTGGCAGAATCTATTTTTACTTACTAGAAAGAAAGAAAAAAACAAAAATCCGGAAAACGAAAGCAATCTAGCGGAATGGAAGCGCGCATTGAAATGAAAAAGCTGTATGTAATTCCTAAAATTGCAACCACAAAAATGCAAAATGCAGATGATTACCTGAGAATAAAATCAATAACACTCATATTTCTTCCTTCGTGGGCGCACTACTTCTAAGTACTACGACGTTTTAGGTTGACTTCTTTGATGATACAGACTCTGCCACATTAGCAAGTGAAACCCCTAGCACGGTGAATACAAATATAAAAAAAAAACAGACAAGGTGAAAACTATACTAATGGATGATAACACTAATAAAACATCGCGATTTGCCGTATGCTAATTAGTTGAGAGTTTATATAGGTTTCAAACTACGGCGGAGACTTTCACAAAAAACGAAACACACGAAAAGCACCGCTACTCAACAACTCACTGGCAAGCAGCGCAACACTTCGATCGGTTTCTCAGCTGGTTTGGTTGGTGACCTGAACCTGACGATGAACGAACAAAACGACACTCGCCGCGGACCGGACCGGAATAATGCAGTAGCAGCAGCACTTTGCAGCTGACGGGCGGTTCGTGCAGAGAATTTTTTTTATTTACCTACTATACACTGCACTGCCCATAAGGCTCAAACAAGGCTCAAGTGGAACCAACCAACACTGCTGGATGGTCGAGGACGAGGACGACGACTGCGACGCGGAAATAAGCGCAACACGAGCGAGAAACTCGAATGGAATACAACGTTTGCGCGGTGTGGGAGCGTGCGGAGGCGATCTTTTTGTTTTGATTTTCAAGTGAGAACTGTCAAAACATATCTGTTTGACAGACGACAGACTGCGTGAACGTAGTCCAAACGGGTTCCAACGGATTTGTAGTGTTTCAATTTTTGCTCTGCACTCAGAGGGCAAGACAGTTTATGAATATTAGCAAATTCGTTTATTATTCAGTTCTAGGGGGAAAGTCACTCTGCCACTTTCTGTCAACACCCATTTTAGCACAGTAAAAACACACATTGACACACTCAAACTATAGTCGCCATATTTATAGTCTGGCGGATAGAATTTCGATCTATCAAAAAGCGGAACCAATTCAATATATTGTAGATCAACAATTGAAAAGGTACTATCAACTTTTATAAACAAAACGTTGATTATTCTTTCCTCGCCAATCGAGGGCAAATTACCAGCATCATCGGATAGGGGAAACTTTCCTCAACCCAAAGAAGGTGTTAGTTTGCGTAGGCGAGCCTTGAGTCTTGCTCTTTTTTGTTGTTGGTCGTGATTTGCTCGATTGATTCCGCTATTTGACAGTTTAATTGGTTCTCGAGATTCTATCCGCCAGACTATGAATATAGCGACTATAACTCAAACACCCTTCTGCCACATAAAAACATAAATTTTCTATTATTTTTATCAAGGTTGTCATTTCAGTAGTAGAATTATTAAAATTATACAATAATATCAACAATCAATACGAAACTAACGATTTTAAATTGGCTCACTACTTGACTAGCCTATTGGTCCCAAGCAAACGATTAACGTTCGATTAAGTCGAAATTCTAGTACTACGCAATGTTTGTTTTGATTCGCTATGAAAGTTTGACAGATAAAATGAGGGGTTATTGGTTTTTCCTATGTTTCGAGGGGTGAATCGATTAGCTTGGGACCGAAGAGAGTACCAGAGCTGAGCCGAAAAGTTGAGCACGTTATTTCAGGACCTTCTAGTCTTAGAGTTACCTTTTTTTTAAGGCTTTATTAAAGAGATTTTTAGCCTTAGGCTAGTTCATCTCTAAAGAGTTACATCTATGATAATATTTTGTTTACGAATATGGTCAAAATTTCTATACTTCACATTGTTCTAATTTGAAATGCTTGTTGGTATTGGTGCATTTCGAATTTGGGTGTGGTTTGAACGGGTGTGGATTCAGCATCAACGGAAAAGCATTAACTTTCACTTTATTCTTCGCCACTATGGTTTTGCTGCTGTGTCACTTGGGTGTTTCTATAATTTAGATCAAACCGGGACAGAGTTTTTTTTTTAACTATGAGATTTTTAGCCATAGGCTAGTTCATCTCCAAAAGCCAGAACAGAGGGATTAGACCTAGGATTAGACTCAGTTTCGCACACATTAAAAACAAGCGCTTGGAAACCGATAGGTTTGTAATCAAGCTGGCATAAATTGACTATGATTGACCTTCTGAAGAGTTCTTCTACAGTTCAACCAACCATACCTTTTATACTTTTTGGTCATTTGGGAAATCAGATTTCGAAGAGACGTTCTATTTGAGGAAACAGAATTCGGGAAAAAGTCGTACAATCGTTTCGAAAGAGTACAAATCATAAATTAACCCTGATGTACTTTTAATGCAAAACAAATATTAAATCAAAGGTACAAGGCACAGTCCACACAACAAGACTGAATGCCATAAAATTGGACAGTAAATCACTCGCCACCAACGGTAGTTTCTGCATAATTCCAAACAAGTTCCCGGTGGTCACTAAAGGCAGCTGATGTGATACATTGATTTATTCCGACTGGAGTAGCGGCAGCTGCCGATTTGCCGGTGCCAAACTGAACGCCTCAAAATTGACTAAGTCATCGCCAGTGGAATTTGTTGTCGGATTTCGTAAATCAGATTCGAAATCTCGAAACTCTTGACCGCCCTTGATGCAGCCGGAAGCGTTGGAATCGTGGATTTAGCGTGCCCGTGAATTAAAGTCGTCGAAATCGTCCTTGGTGGAGGCGTCGGTGGACAGGTTCTGAACATGTCTTTCAGAATTTCATTGCTTGACTACTGATTCTCGCTAAACGTGCTGATGATTTCTTCAGGGTCGGTGATGCAGTGGGTCGACAAGTTGATGCCCAGATTGGCTGATTTGCTATCCTGATAGCCACCGTACTCACTGGAACCATCTCTACCGGTACCATACTGCATTCTACCAGTCTCATCCAACTTGTCCTTTCCGCCAGGTTATCATCGCTTTAGCGTTCAGCTCACGAATCTTGTGTCACTCTGTGTGTGAGGTACATGAATACGGGAATTAATATTCATAGATTCCTTTCCCCCACTGTTGACAGTATTTGTGATACTGTCATACAATGTTGGTACGATTGATGTGGAACATTGGCAACACGGCACAGAGGATGTGGTTACGAAAGCTCGTGCTTGTTCCATTCATTCAGCAGCAGACTCCAGGAAAGGTAAGTCCTATTTTGTGAGCCAATCAAATTCCTGTGCCGAGTGATTTCACAGTAATAACATAGAGGTAACTCTAAGACTAGAAGGTCCCGAAGAAACGTGCTCAACTTTTTGGCTCAGCTCTGGTACTCTCTTCGGTCCCAAGCTAATCGATTCACCCCTCGAAACATAGGAAAAACCAATAACCCCTCATTTTATCTGTCAAACTGTCATAGCGAATCAAAACAAACATTGCGTAGTACTAGAATTTCGATTAGAATGGGGTACGCTAATCGTTTGCTTGGGACCAATAGGCTAGTCAAGAAGTGAGCCAATTTAAAATCGTTAGTTTCGTATTGATTGTTGGTAATAAGGCATAATGGCGATTTCATCGATTCACGTAATTCATTGGGCATTTACATTGGCGATCCTGCCAGGAGAAATCGCATAATTAATTGTTTTTGTGAAATCACTCGGCACGGGAAAATATAATGGAAATTCAGTGTTAGTGACTAGTGACGCGCAATGAAAACCGTCCGAAAAAGATAATGGAAGCGCGTAAAGAAAACCGCTGACCAAATGACGTGTTAAGATAACCGTCGAGGGTGAAAAAGGTGTGTAAAGAAAACCACCTAGAAAGAAAGGCGTGTTGGGACAACCGCTCAGGTGAGTAACGAAAACCACCAGCATAAAATGGCGAGTTGAGACAACCGTCAGCGTAAAAATAAGAGGTGCGTTAGGAAAATCCTTGGTACAATAAATGGCGCACCGGGACGACCGCCAATGATTGAGTGCGTAATGAAAACCACAAATCAAACGAAAAAGATGGCGTGTTGGAAACCGTCATTGAGAGAAAGAGAAAGAGAAACGATGCGAGGTGCTTATTGGAAATGACCTATGAGAAAAGATAGTCGATTGTGACAATTGTATGCGAGAGATGTATACAGAAAACCGTCCTCATATAGAAACACCTGAGATACTCGATGATCGGAGGTATTCTGTTTTAGGAAATTTGTCTATTGGTTAGCAAGAGAAAAATTAATTGTGAGTGAGATTCTAAAAAGAGTCATGTTTTGTTTCCAATATTTTGCAGATTCGTTGAATTCTTCAGTATGTCAGCGGAAGGAAGATACGTTCGCATTAATCAGTTCAACGACGGCATTTGTGACGCTTCGGATAACGAGTCAGGCACAATGGAAGATTCGGAAGCCGGAAGATTTGTTCGTGCCCCGAAGTTTTATGACGACCAATGTGAAGAAGAAAACGATCAGTACGATCACTATGAAGTTACAGTAGATCCAAATCAAGAGAATGAAATGTTGAAACGACAGCTCGCCGATATGCAAAGGGTTCTCGACGAAATATCATCAATCCGTAAGAGTCCACAACAACAAAACGCCTAAGCTAACGCTGCTTAGGATAGCTGGAGCAGTTCCCGCACAATGCCATCGTCAATGTCTGAAAAAAGTGGTCCGAGCATCAGATGGGATCAAATGAAGCCGTTTCCCAAAGATGTACCAGCGAACAAGATGTGGGAGGAATGGTCAAAATATATCGAGAATTTTGAAATTGCTGCCTCTCTGTCCAATGCAAATGACCCCGTGCGGCAGTCACAGCTGCTTTTCCTATCTATTGGTGATCAATTACAGGGCATCGTTCGAGCAGCGAAACTTCGACCGGATCTAAACGACAAACAATGCTACAAAGTTTTCATTAAGAACATCGAGGACCACCTGCGATCCATGACTGATACCACTGCGGAGCATGAAGCTTTCTCGTGTATGCAGCAACGCAAAGAAGAGTCCGTGATGAACTTCCATGCCAGGCTCATGGAAAAAGTCCGAATGTGTCGATACAGTTCGAGCGATCAGGAACGTTTCGTGCGTGCTCCGCTTCTAAAAGGAATGATAAACCGTGAGCTAGCAAGAACTGCGAGAACATTCGACCACGAAACCAACTTTATCGTGCAGGCTGCAACACGGGACGAGGCATACCAGAGGGAAATTACACAATCAACGATTATGGAGGATGAATCTATCAACCAGGTGCATGGCCGCATGCCTAGAGCTATGAAACGTGAAAGGAATAGTGAGCCCAGTAGATCTCAGAACAAACAATTTCGTCCAGACAAGCCCAGGTTTAGTAGTCGCAGGGACCGATGTTCAAGATGTAACAAATGGATGCATCGTAACCGCCCTTGCCCGGCTCTAAAGCACAAGTGCAATAAATGTGGCAAAATTGGTCACTTTGCTGTAGTATGCAGATCCAGCCAAGTCAATTCAGTACAAGATTACAATCTAGCGCGGGAGGTGAAACCTGATACCACAGACAAACAGACGTA